CTGCCTAAAAACATATTACGCGTTATTTGATTTTCAAAAATAAACTCAGTGATGAATTAGTAAAATTAGAACACTAATAAACGTATTTTGAGAAATGTCTATAAAGTCTCAATGTAGAATTTGAAATTTATATATGTTCGCTTTCTAAAGATTGTATCAAGTTGTTTACTCAGTAGTTGGGACAGCAAAAGTTAAATTGTGAAAGAATAATAGTGATCGAATAAAATAGATACACACCTGAATTTGCGCGGGAATTTTCGACTGGTATGTACCGTTACATTTCAAGTCCAACGCACGTCATGACGGTCGTCGGAGGCCAATACGTATTCCTTTCTTTCATCACGAGTTGTCGGAAATCTCCGTGTTTGAAGCATTTTTGAACGAGCTACTTTTTACACGAATGACACTATTGCTAAAACCACGACGTCGCGGTAGCAACGGCGGTCGCTGAAAGCCAGACATTACCAGGAAGTCAGGAAACCCGAGGAGCTATTTCTTCTCCGTCAAAGTTGCGTTCATCGCCATCTGTGAACAAAAATTCTAATTATTATTGGTACAAGAGAATCGATAAATAAAAACTGCATTATCATTTTACGATAATAAAAATGAAAACATTGACCACCGACGAAATATATGAATTGCATTGCAAGTTAGTCAATGATACTAGTTAGTATCATGCTAATAGACAATGGTGTTTACAAATTAATCCTGTTTGAACACTCATAGGTAAATGATACTTTCATAAAGCAATTCCAAAAGTTATTTTCAGATGGGAGTAGTGACGCACAGAAGCTTACGATGTATCGATTGTCGATTGTTCATTTCAATGCCTTCATCAAAAAGGCATGAACTGCGTAAATTGCCAGTGACATTAATCGTTACGCGTGTTCAAGCTTCTGTAGTATGAATCGTTTGCCTCATTTCTTGGCACTTACGCGATAAACTAATCGATTAGTCTTTCGTGTCGCGAAATCGCTTTCTTTTGACATTACACTCGAGATGGTTCGATAGTATCGAGGTTTTTTGGCAGGTCGAAAGAAAGATGTCCCTCGATGGTAGATTAGAATGTTATTAGTCATTCGATGTCGCGTTTGTAAGTAAATATCAGCTGAATGCGTAGAGGAAAACGTAACGTGATTCCGTGACAGCGTGTAACGGATGTAACTGTCGGATATAAATCAATCAAAGAAACCAACGTCAAAAATGGGCCTTTTCCAGACCTCCTCGCCTTTCGACGCTGACGTCGGTAAGTAGCAGACTTCTCCCTAGCCTTAATTCGCTTATATCACAGTCGTTCTTGCATCAGGCTAGTCTAACTCCAAGAAAAAGATTTTTAGTCCTGTGACAGCTCGTATCCGTTATCCCACCGCACATATGTTCGATCTGGTTTTTCTTTTTCTCTTTTTTTTTCTTTTTTTATACACAACATCGAAATTCCACGTTTGATGGATGCATCAAGCGGTTGTTGACATTTGACCTCCAATTAAGACACCAGATTTTGCAAATTACTTCAGCCTCGGTTTTATATCGCCTCGTCCAATTATTCGTATCACGTCCGAGAAAATGTACGTTCATTCTGATAAAAGAAAGGCGTGCAAAAAGAAATATTCGAAACGTTCGAATCGTAGAAATTTCCTAGATGATAACCATTCTTTTTAGAATTCGTATATCTGCAGTGCTAGATTTCTCTTTAATTTGCAATACCGTAAAACAAGCCTGATACGAGCCTTTTATTATCTATTTTAATTTGTTAAGAGAATTATTTGGTACAAACAAGTACATAAAATTAAATATTCTATTGTGTTAACGTGTTTGAGGAGATTATGAATAAAAAGAACAATGCTATAACACTTTCGATTAAGTAGTTTATGATTGGAATAGGATAAAGCAAATAAATACCGTTATCTTCTTTATTGTGATATTATATTCAGTATTGTATTTATATAGTGTTTGTTATATTCTATTATATTTTATGTTTTTATTATGATTTTTTTTTTGCAATAGAGAAAGCAACTAGCGAGAAGAATATATCTATAGAATGGGGAAATATGTTGGATATTTGTGACAAAATGGGAACTTCTACCCAAAATGCAAAGGATTGTTTACGATCGATTACTAAAAGACTAAATTCTCCAGATCCACATATTGTTATACAAGCATTAACAGTAAGTATATCCTTCAAAACTCGTATAATTTGAAATCCCTGTGTAACAAGATATTCATTGAATTTGGATTTAGTTATTAGACGTGTGTGTCATCAATTGTGGAAAAACGTTTCACCTAGAAATTGCATCAAGAGATTTTGAGAATGAATTGAAAAAGCTTATTCATCATTCTGAACCAAAGATCGCTGAAAAAATGAGGGAACTTTTGAAGAAATGGGCTGAGAATGATTTCAAAACTGATCCTCAGCTGAATTTAATTCCAAGTTTCTACAACAAACTCAAACATGAAGGATATGATTTCACTTCTACATCAGATACAGTAAGTTCTTTTGCATCTAAATTCACATATACTGCAATACATGTATTGCATGATTGTGTCTTGGTTTATTTAAATGCTAATAAGATAAGACTATCACTTATTGACATTCTGTGTTTTTCCTGCAATTATTCATCAAGCAAATAATTATTCCACTGAACCACATGGAAACATTTATGTTGATTGATAGTATAAATCCTTCATTGTTTTGTATAAATGAAATAATATTTTTAATTTTCAGCCTAAACGTACAAGTATACTAAGTAAAGATCCAAATGTAGTAACAAATTCACAAGAAGAAGAAGATATCGCAAAAGGTACCTTCAAACACTTAAGGAATTTAATATTAATATTTAATATTTTTTCTTTTAGTACTATAAAGTTAAATTAATCATTTTTCTTTTTAGCCATAGAACTTTCTCTTAAGGAAAGTAAAGCTCATAGTCAAGCATCCTCTTCGCATAGTTCACCAGCATCCAATAAATACACCAGTTTATATCCTAATGTAAGTTCTGCCCTTGGTGCCTCCAGCAGTTCAGAAGGCAGAAAAGTTCGTGCTCTGTATGATTTTGAGGCAGCAGAAGATAATGAATTAACATTCTTTGCAGGAGAAATAAGTATGATTTGTGCTCCTTTAAAATTTATTCTTGAATTATATGTTGATCACAGTCAAGAAATGCGAGTATAATAAATATATTGTGTAATGATAAAGTATACTATTCAATTAAATTTTAGTTAACATTTTGGATGATTCTGATCCAAACTGGTGGAAAGGCAATAACCAAACAGGAGAAGGACTATTTCCCTCTAACTTTGTTACTGCAGATTTGTCTATGGAGCCTGAACAGTTTACAAGTAAGACATAAAATATTAAATTATTTATGTTTGTTAAAAATGAGTACTACAAATGAGTTTACGTATAGAATTAGAACACAGTAACAAAAAAATGGTTCAATTCGCCGAAGAAGTAGAAGTGAAAACGGTAAAGAGGGAACCAGAAGTGGTTGAAGTTGAAATAGATGAAAGAAAAATGGACAGACTTTTACATTTACTACACGAAGCTGATCCTCAGTGTGATAATTCGGATCCACAAGAAATGCTTGATTTAGAAGGTAGTACATTCGCATCATTTATGATACTTCACTTTATGTCATTATTTATATTGACTATATATACTTTTACAGAACAAGTTACGGCTATGGGACCGTTGATAGATGCAGCTTTAGAAAAAGTAGACAGGAGGCATGCACAACTAACTCAATTAAGTTCTGATTTGGTGGATGCTCTTAATTTGTATCATACATTGATGCGAGAACCTCCACCTCCTACACCAACAAATT